CCTGCAGACCTGGGAGGTCAGTGCCTGCATGGAGTTTGGGGCCTGGGGCGTGGAGGTGAGCATTCATCCCCGTGGAGGCCTGAGATGTGGAAGGAGGGGGTTCCTTCAGCCCCCCACCCAGGGAGGTGCTAGACTTCCGGGCCTTAAGTTGCCCATCCTGTGGGAGGTCCACTCAGGCAAGACTGCAGTGACAAGTGACCGCAGGAGTCGAGAGGCCGGCTCCTGGACAGGCCCCACACTGGCTCATTAAATGCCTGACTTGCTCCGTCCCTGGCTTCAAGGATCTTGCAGGATTCATGAGGACTCACCTCACCCACAGGGGGTCTTGGCGGTGCCCTCGTCCCCTAGGGTGGTGGACAGTCACCCTCCCAGTGTCCATCCTGCCCCTCCCCATTTCTGAGTAGCCCCAGGGCTCTCTTGTGGTTTGGGTGGGATTGGCCCACTCCCCAGAGGGGAATATACTCCACTCGACACACTTATATATTCACTAGGCCCAGTCCAAGGGAAGTGGAGGCCTTTGTCAGGGGGTGCGGTGTATATGGAATGGGAGCAGAGCCTGTTCCTGTGGGGAGCCTTTTGTTTGTTTGTTTGTTTTCATTTTATTTATTTAAGAGAGAGTGCACGAGAGAGCATGGGCAAGGGAAGGGTCAGAGGGAGAGGGAAAAGCAGATACCCTGCTGAGCAGGGATCCCCACACAGGGCTCAATCCCAGGACCCTGGATCATGACCTGAGCTGAAGGTGGACTCTTAACCAACTGAGCCACCCAGGTGTCCCTATAGGCAGTCTTTTGAGGAAGCAGTCTGAGGAAAGGATCTCAGAAAAACGGAGCTGAATCCCTGATCAAACTGCACCTGAAGCCTGACTTACCTCAGATCTTTCTGGTTACATGAGCCTCCTTTTTGTTTAAGCCAGTTTTAGTTGGCTTTTCTGATATTTGCACCCCAAAGCATCCTAGCAGCTTTTAATGTAATAAATATAAAATACGATATATATTTAATATGAATATAATAAAGATTTTAAAAATAACCCACTGTGGACCTGTTGTGGGCTAGTTTTAGTCCGCTAAAAGGAAATTTAGCTTCCTCTACTCTTGGGTGAGAGAGTGTAGGGAAAATGAATCTCAAGACTTTGCTATTCACTTTGTAGTATTTCACGTCAGTTTTCCAAGTGCAAGCCTCTCAAAGCCTTAAGGGCTATAACCAGTGGTCCTGGGGTGTGGGGAGCAGGTCCGGCTCCCCTGGAGTGCCCCCTGACCATACTGTTTCCTGAGCCCCCTCTGTGCCTTTCTTGCTCCAAAGGAAAAGAGGGGAGGAACTGGTGTCCTGAGGGGCTGGGACATTGTGACCGGTGCTCTCTGTGCTTCATCTGACTGCATCCACAGGTCAGTGTTGTCGTCCCCTCGGATGGGGGACAAATGAAACAAAGGAAGAGGCTGAGGCTCCTGTGGGTGAAGAATCTTCCCAGAGTTGTGGCGGTAGTCGGTGGGAGAGGAGGCATTCGAACTCAGGTCTCCCCAGAGGGTGCCTTCGCCCCTCTGGAATGGGGTCCTCTCACATATGAGGCATGCACAGGATCAGATTCCTAAAGAAACCCTTCCCTGAAGGATGAAAATCTTTTTAGTTTTATCCTTAAATGGTAGTTCTTATTTTTCCAAGGGTTTGGTATTCATTCATTCAAGTACTGTATTGAGAGTGCCTACTATGTCTGGGCACTTCTTGGGACCTTATTCAGTTTGATTGTAACTTTCTCTGACACATCCCCAGAGGGGAGCTGGAGAGCCATTTAGAGTTTTGAGAAAGTCCAGTGTTTGGGGGATTTATTTTGGATAGCACTAAATTAGCACTCTGGGCTGACACCGACAGAACATTAAAAGTGCTGTTGAGAATATTTCTTTCTTGCACCAACAAGTGGGCATCACAGACTCAGCATCATCCCTTGTTAGAGTGCCCAGGTGCTCAGATCAGGTCACCTGATTTTCGAGGTGAGCAGCCCTGAGCAGAGAAGTTACACGGACGTGGGATTAAGAAGAACACACATGGCAATTGTTTTAAGGGCTCATTTGCAACTGGAGAAATGGTCGTGGGCCGGTGCCTGTCTGGGAATCCTGCAGGAGTAGCCCCTCGCGGGACACTGGACCAGGTTTCTGTTGGTTCAGTTTTGCAATAAAAGTGGAAAGTATACAAAGTATACGTTGATTTAGCATTTATCAGCAGGTACTCTGTCCCAGCCGAGGAGTGCCGGTGAGGCAGGCTTTACCTTCATGGAGTTCACAGTCTCCAGGGAGACAGACATGCAAATAGATAGATTCTGGGGCTCCGTGGAAAGTGCTAGAAATGAAGTATGAGCAGAGCACTAATGGAGCCCACAGGTGAGAGTAACTGTCTTTGCCTCGACAGGACTGGGAAAGTCGTGAAAATAAATAAGCCACTTAAGGCAGGCAAGCAGCAAGCTGCCTCTGTTATCACCCGCCAGTCCCTTTATTAACTGAGAGCCGCATTTTTTTTTTAAGCTCCTTGGTCAAGGAAAAGGTCCCACCTGGAAGCCTGGAGTCTCCAGCATTTCTCGGATTTGCGTTTGGGGGTCTCCAGAGACCCCGAGAAGTTGACATACCTCTCTGCTCCCTGGCCCAACCCGAGAGCCGTCTACTTCCCCTTGCCTCCACCTGGCTCTTGCCCTCACTGGCCTCCCTGGGAATTTTTCTAAGGTCATCGGGCTCCCTGCCTCCAATCTTGATTCCCCAAACTGCACCCAGCTCTGTGGGTGAACGCAAGTGGGGTGATGCTCTTGCTGTTCCTGCTCAACTCCGAGGCCCCTGCTGTGGGGGTGGCGGCTTGGCCACAAGTGCTCGGGTAAGTCAGAGCCCCACACAGAGGGCGGGGGCCAGAGGCTCCCTTGGGCGGCCTGGGGGCTCGTCCCCTCGCACACGGTAATGGTAACTGGAGCTGGGCGCTGGAATGCTGCTCTCCGGCCTCTCGCCGGGGCTATTTGTCTGTTCCCAACCTAGATCGTAGCTGCAACTCAACTGGCTTCCTTTTTGATACCGAGATGCTTTCTTACCATTTTCCCAGCCAGTTCTTCCTCTGATTACTACGCTGGTATGTTAAGAAGCACTCGGATGGATTGTAACTTTTCCCCGATGAAGGCCACGGCCTCTTCAATTACTGTAAATTCTGTGGGCCCATCTACATAAAGGCTACACATGGTGCCACGGTGCCTTTTCCGAGTGACCTGATCCGAAAGCGGACATCAGTTGGGTGCTCTGGCTCTCCTCGGGAGAATTGTAAAATACGGTTGTGAATGCCGCGCACAAGCCGGCTGAGGGCAGACCCACGCAGGACGGCTGGTGTTTGCACCGAGTGCTCCCACAAAAGGACCGTGTTTGGCTGGGGACCCCGGGCAGGAAGGACAGTGGCATGACAGAGTTTGACTGTAGAAGCTGAAGGAAAACGGGAAGAGTTTAGGTCCTTTTGAGATCTGCTTCTATTTGAAAGGCAGTGAAAACGTGGAAGTGAGGCGTCTGCTGTCACCGTTTGCCGAGCGGCCCCAGGACAGTCCCGTATACCTTTCTGCAGCCTCCAGACCTGCCTGGATATAGTTGCTACAGAGCACCCTAAAGAGCAGACGGACGGCGGGTGTCACAGCTGAGTGTCAGAAGGAAAGGCTAATTTAAAGAAGTTGGAAACGTGCCGATAAAAGGCAGCCATTTTCAGAGTTGTATCACGTTCTCGTCTTTGTAACTCCTACCAGGTAGCCTTCGGGTTGCTCAGAAGTGCCTTCTGACACGGCCTGTCCCAAGACGGGAATCTCTTCAAACGCAGTGTGACCCTGTGCCTTCCTACTCCAAGTGTGTTCCCCCGAGAAGCAGCCTCGGCATCACCGGGGAAAGGCAGGCTCTCAGGCCCCACCCTGGACCTGCGGCATCGGGACCTGCATCGCAACAGGTGATGTGTGTGCATGGTGACCTGGGACAAGCAACGCTTTCTAGGGGGAAAACAAAACAAAACAAAAAACAACCAGCCTTGGTCTGAGAATTATCCATGGGCCCCAGGCTCTGTTCAACCAGTGCCTGAGGGATCAAAGGCAAATCATTTCTCTGCACCTTACTCTTCCCATCTCTAAAATGGGTATCCCTCCTCTATCCCTCTTTGCTTATCTAATGGTAAAAGAGGGGAAGATAGTGACCTTGTTTTCAAATAGTCAAATTTGTAAGCAAGTTTCAAGAGGGCACGCAAAGTGTATGTAAAAGTTGAAACGACAAATATTCTTTGGCAATGACAATTTAATTTTACTGCTTAGAGAATGAGCAGATTTTCCAGCTGGGGGTGGGGAGGGGACACCGGTCCTGCTTCACTTCTGTCTCCTTCCATGTACCCTGCTGTACCTGGATGTAAGAAATTCTCCAAAAGGTACTTTGAGCAAAGACCCTCAAGGAGACAATTCAATTTCCAAATGTAAATTCCAACAGCATAGAGAGGGGCCACTATTGCTTCCAGTCCCCTGGTGAGAAGCGAGGTTTTCTGTGAAATGAGATTGCCTTTGACATTGTTGCTGTTCCCAAGAAGGGTATTTTCAATGTGAAAAGAAGCTGTTTCTATTGGGAAAGGATTTGTTCATGTAAAGTTGAAAGTTTGCGCTTGTTATGCATGAGTTCAAGGAAGACAGGAATGATGTAGAAAGGCATGAATGTTCAATGTCATGTGGTTTTGAAGGGCTTGTCTCTGAGCGTGAGATTCCTGCCACACGTGAGCACACGTGGGACCCACTGGTGTCTCTCCCCATCCCCATCCCCTGCCCCTTACACGTCCCCCTGCTGCCAGCACACGCATCCACGCATTACAGCCCTGAGTCTGCTGGATTCAGAGTCGATTTCAGGTAGAATGGCAGATTCAGATTCTAGATGTTTTGCTGGTACAAAAATTATGATGGTCAAACATTGGCTTTCTATGGGCAATAATATAAGCAGGTGAAATGACTCTAGGAAAAAAAAACCCACTCAACACATGATAATAAAGATTTTATTTGATTTTCATGATTGGACATCCAAAAATACATTGATAGGACAGAGACTTCCTTGTAGCATTAAAACGAAATTGTGAGCATTCAGCCCTTAATTCCACGGAGTACTTTATCCCCCAGAACCCTGTGTGGTATTTAGATGACACAGAATCAAATGATCTGGAACCATGACTTGTGCTCGATTAAAGGGGGTCCTGAGTGAACACACTTTCGCAGTCTGAACCGTGATATTCTTCCTGGGTTGATCGTCATCTCATCCACAAAAAGATTTATAACAAAGGCCAGTTGTTATTCTGCGATACTATTAATCAGCCACATACTGAGGGACCTTGGCAGATTATGAAGGGGATAAGCCTGTGATTGCCCTGTGCCCTGGGCAGGCGCCTGCCTGTGTTCTAGCTTTATTTCTGAGGCTGGTGAACTCCGTGACCCTAGAAGAGGCACCTATCCTTCCTGGGCTTTGGTTTCGTCATTTATACAATGGGTAGGAGTAGACTGTCGATTAAATCCCAAATTTTACCATTTAAAGGACAACAGAGTCTTCTCCTTTATGAGGGGCGGAGTGTGTCCGGGCTCCTTCCAGCTCTAAGTTTCTGCCGGTCGACCTCCCAGGGGCAGGCACGCCGGTGGCGAGGCAGACTCTTCTAAGCAGGACGCCCTCGTGTCCCTGAACACGTTCCTACATCTCCACTGACCAAAGACATCGTCCATGCAAGTCATTCTAACATACAGTTTAGCCCTTTGGTGCAGAGGGTAAGGCAGGACAGTGGCTGACGATCGTATGGAACCCTTTTCTGAGCTCGAAGCAGCAATGCATCTCTCCTATTGGATGCTACCGCCAGTCAGCAGGGTGTGTTTTAATTATTATTTTAATTTCGTGTTGGCAGAAAGGCACTGTCAGATAGTGCCCTTCAAGGGAAACTCTTACTTTGGGGGGCTGTTGGAATCTCTGTACTCCTGGCTCAGTGCTTCCCAGCACATACAAGGCACATATTGGTTCCCCCAAACTACTCCTTACAGTACTTAGCCTCCCATGTGAGGGATCCAAGACACGCTTCCTGGGAGTGTCCGCACCCCTGGAGAAGCATGAGCCAGCCCTGAAGGGCAGGTCCAAGCTGGCAGAAGCCATCCTATTGGGAACAGATGCGAGCTCAGTCTTATCGTCACAGTTCACTGATACGCAGATCTAGGGAAAGGCTTACATAGAAACCTCACACGCCTACCCGATTTGACCTTCCCTGAATATCAACTCTCTACTATCAAGAATTACTTGTTGGTAAAAATATTCCTTACGTATTTTGGATAGCGTTTTTTTTTTTTTTTCTTTTTCTTGTGGCAACGTCCCATAGTTTGCTCAGGGTCACAGCAATAAGGTTCTCATATTGAACATTCCTCTCTTTATAAGTTGAAATAACAATGCTAAAGGTCTAGTAAGCAATAGAATTTAAAGTTTAAAATGCCCATATCCGTGGTATGGAGAATCCAGAGTTTCATGTCTGACTTCTGAAATGTGATCCTAAATCTTTAATTCTGGGCCATAACTACAACATTAGTTACAGAAAAATCGAACTTTCAAAAAAACCCCAACCAATCCCCAACCCCAAGAGTACCGAATAATGTTTGCAGAGATAAATTTCGTGTTTTTAAATAAGTACTATAAATAACAAACAATCTTTAATAAAAGAAGAGAGAGGGAAGGATAGAGAACAGTGATTAGGAGCCCATCAAATCAGGCCATTTCACACCTGGGTTACATTCATAAAACGTGTATTGTAACCCCTAGGAAATTATCATCCACAGTTGATTGCGCTTGGTCTTTTTCTATCGTATTTTTTCTGAAAGTTGCACGTTGCTCATCTGTTTTCAAATAAATCTAAAATGTGGTATTTATCCCATATGTACATGTGGTAAAGTGATCAAGAAAAATATTTTCAGTACTAAACACCCCATTTTAAAAGAAACCCTGAATGTAGTAAGTTCATGCTAATTGGGAACTCTACGAAGGGGTTAAAACGTTACCCGTTTCAAGTAGGGTGGCCATTATAAATGTTACCCAAATAAAAGCCAGAAACAGGAAGCCAAAAAGCAGGTCCCTACGGCAGGCATGTGTCTTAAATGATATCATTTGTCAAGTTTCCAGCGTCTTGTGGTGGGGAACACAAAAAGAAGGTCTGTGTTGTACTGAGGAAATTACATCCTCATTAGCTGGAATGTTCCGTAAGTACATAACGCAGGATTTTCATTTTAATAAGCAGCAGCTACTTGTCACTGCACTTTCATTAGATAAATACTGAATGTAATACTAATGACCATTTACAGAGGCTCTATCCTACTCTTGAGAAACTCCATTCAGATGAAATCATATAGTAACAATGTATAGAGCCTATCAAGCAAAACTTCCGTGTCATTTCTTTGTGAACTACTCCCTAAAAAAAAAAATTTTTTTTTAAATGCTGACAATATTTACTAGCAGGAGTCATCGTCAAAGAGGCCCGGAATCACACCATTGGTTTTTTGTTTTTTTGTTTTTTTTGCATGCAAAACAAATGTGAAGGAATAGCATTTGCTTTTTTAGAAGTCACAATGGAATGGCAAAGAATAGCTTCTCAAAGTCAAACCCCTCCATCTGCCCAGCCAGAGCCCTCAAGGCTGAGGTGCAGAGAAGGCCACCCTGAGAACCGAGAAATAATTCATCCACCATGATCGCTCAGCCCCAGCCCTGTCTCTAAAACAAAGACTGACAATTGCCCTGAATTATGGATGTACTTTTTGTGATATGTAATACAGTTCAGAAGAAAGGTGTTGAGAGCATTGCACCATTTCACCTCCCATTAGAGGCTGGTCCTGAACGATAATCCAAGAAGATGAAACTGATACTGAACTATGACCCTCAATTTACAAATCATTTTTCAGAATAAGAAGAAAAAGTTTAAACATATTTTTGGCATTATCTGAATGGGCGGAATCTTTCATGCTTGTTTTCTAAGAATAAATGAAAACAGCATGCACTGGAGTTCCTGAGTTTGGGGAAAGCGAGCATGAGGTTTTCACATTATATTTTATTTTAAACCTGGGTGTTTGAAAAAAAAAATTTTTTTTATGTCGCCGAATTTAGTATATTCCTTCAAAACATCATAAATTTCTATTCTGTAGCTTAAGGGATCCATCCGTTAAAATGTTGGTCTTTCATCTTTATTACCCTCCCATTAACATGAAAGAAACCGGGACGCACTTCAGTTTCGAGGAAGCAATTTAGTTGGCAGTGTCCTTGCTCCTGGAGTCTCGAGGAAGGGAGAAAGTGCATTATGGTTTAGACTTCACACATCTATCTGCATGGGCAGCAACAGATACTACGTGAAATTTCATCATCTTCTTGGATGGCATGATTTGATTACCATGTTCGCCCATTACCAGTCCCTTCCTGTGCACTTCCGTTCCTAAAACCTGTCCCCTCCCCTGTGTGTGTTTGTGTATCTGAAAGCCAGGCAGCGTCTCCTTCCCTCTGGCCAGAGCTGTTAGGTCTGAGAGGGGCAGATTAATAACCGAGCACCACGGTGGGCCAACCTCTCTTGTACCCGCATAGTAACCCCGTGCCGTGAGGAGGACACAAAGAGCCTCGCGTCAGGCTGCTACCCTTCTTCATAACTCAGAAGCATCACAGCGGCAATAGCCTCCGGTGCTATTTGTCTTTAGTGCAGTTGTGACACTTCGGCATGATCCATAATTTGGCGGCTATTTACCGTGACATCTCCCTTCAGTGCAGCCCTAACATTCAGTGAAGCCATTATTTGGTCCCATTTACCATATAAATTGTATTGTTGTGCGTGCATGCTAGCAGCTACATTAGGTACCTGAAAATGAGTAAATCTTGTAAAAGAGATACTAACAGCTATTCAGCAGTAGGATCTCCTCGCTCCTCAGATGGGAGGAAAGAAAAATTAAATATGGTCGCCAAGTTTCCCGGAGCATCTTTAATTGCGTTCACATTTATTTAGCATTTAGAGACACCGAAAACCCAGGGCTTTGAAAAATAATCCGGTGGGCTTTGCCTTCAATTAGAAAGGCACTATGGGATTTCCAACTTCGCGACGAGAGCTGGAGCCTTCTTTGGCAAGCTGAAGGTGAGGAGGCGGGCAGCTGGGCTGCGAGAAGGCTCGTGACGTTGCTCTCACGTGTGACATGGGCAGTGGGCACTAGTAACGAGGCGCAGCTCGTTCCCACAGAACGCGTGGGGAAGTAAAATGGGGACACAGGGACAGCGCGCTCTGCCACACACTATTCTGTTTCCAAGATCAGAGATAAAACACACCGTGTCCGAAAGTCTGAAACACGAAGCGAATGTCTGATTATTTTAGATTGCGTCAGTCCCTCCTCTGCACTGTGCTGTCTGATACATCCTACTTCAGGCCTAGGAAGGATGCTATTATTACTCTCTGGCCCTGTGCCTAGGGAGTGCTTTCCCTTTGTTATGCAGACTCTCCCCATGGATGCAGCACATCCTCTCTCCCCCTTCCCAAGCAGGTACTAAGTTTTTAAAGCTTGCCCCCAACCTCTGTAGTATCCCTTTCCAAAGCCTGCTTTTGTCTTAACAGTTTTCAACACCAATTTGCTTCTTAAGGGCAGAGAGAAACTTCCAGTTCCACACAGGCCTCACTGGGATAACTGGGCATAAAGCATTAAATAATAGACACTTTTTAAAAAGAGGTCTGCGTTCACATAGTCATTTTTCTATTGACCTAACAAAAATCAAAGTTTTGGGAGAATTCTTCCAAATTTCTAGTTAGAGAGTTGGTGATTTATAGAAAAGGAAGGGCCATTTCCTGGGAATATGGACTCTGAAAATATATGGCTGCTTTTCTGCTATATCTCTCATTTATTAACTGCTCGTTAGTGTACGGCCAAACTCTCCCAAAGCAAAGAATTTGTGGACTATTTTCAAGACCGATTTTAAAATCTCATCAAGCTGAAGACATACTGATTTGATCAGATCTTGCATCAGGAATTAATTTAATTCTCTGGAACAATAAAATCTGGAATGAGACTGTCCATGACCAAAGAATCGAATATAACGGTTTTACCTCTGAGCCGTTGAGAGAAGTTTTTATTAGCATTTTTTTCAAGGGAGGGGCAACCACCCCCCTCCAAAAAAAAATCAAAAAAAAAAAAAGAGAAACTTATTCATTAACACCTGACTTTTGTTTTAAGAAATATTATACCCCTTAACCAACTACAAATAACTTGATTTGAGTAATTCTGAGGAATAAAGTGCCCATTTTCTTTCTCCTTTGATTTATGTCATTGTTCTGTTGTTACAGCTTACTGCTGACAGAGCGAGATAATTCAACTACAATTTTTCCAGTGTTTTTTCCCATGTACATATAATCAACAGCCCGGAATACAGACTCCAGGCCAATAAACCTGCCCTCTGCAGACCGGTCTCCAAGGTCCACCTCGCAGACCAGGTCTCCACCTGCATACATCTTAAGCAAGTGGTCCATGGCTGCTTGATACTTAGAAAGGGAATGGTTCAAGAAGAAGCCCCGGACACTGGCAGATTTCTTCAGCAGTTTGGCTGGTAATGTCCCTGCTTTCACAGGAGAAAGGCCAGTAGGAGTTTGGTAGCCAGACACGAACCCAATGACTATCAAGCGCCCCTTGATAGCCAAGGCATCTACGGCCAAGTCGAACATGGCGCCCCCGACGGACTCATATACCACATCCACACCTGCGGGGTACTCCTGCTTCAGGACGGTGCTGACGGGCTCGGTCGTATAGTTGATGGGACGATCACAGCCAATGGATTTCAGAAAAGCAGACTTTTCATCGGAAGAGCACGTGCCAATGACATGGCACTTGGCCTTCTTTGCAAGCTGCACGGCAAACTGGCCTGTCCCCCCAGCTGCTGCCGTCACCAAAACTTTTGTCCCTTCCGACAGTCCTCCGAGCTCGTTCAGGCTGATGTATGCAGTGGTGGCACTTACCGGCAGGGTGACATACTGTGGCTGCAGAGAGGCCACGGGAGCTGCAGCACCAGCTGGCACCACGGTGTACTCAGCGAAGGAGCCGGGGGCCATGTAGGCCACAGCCTGGCCCACGGCGTACCTGGCACTGGCCGACAGGCCTAAGGCTACCACCTCTCCCACACCTTCGAAACCTACGTCAAAGGGGGTCTTGACCGAAGGGTCGTATCGGCCCGCGGAATAGTTGATGTCAGATGCATTGACACCGACAAATCTAGAAGAAAGCAAACAAACAAATACATTAAGGTGTTCTCTTCGTCAAGGCCTTGATATTCCACTTAGAAAAATTCCTCTAATTCCAATGACTGTGGATGGGTGGCTAAGCCATCTATCCTGGTAGGATTCCAGAAGGATAAAAAATAAGTCAGTCCTGATATTCAGTTGAAAAAGAGAAATTAAACAAGTATTTGGTATATTTTATTTTTTAAATCAGGTTAGGGTCATTTCATACCACTTTAAGCATCAAGTTATTTATTTCACATGCTATTTATTTTCCTCCCCTTTCTTTCAAAAGGAGAAATAAAACATTAAAAAAAAAAAAAGTCAGGAAGCCCTCTTATATACAAACTCCACTGGAGCTATGAGTTGGAAATTAATTGGCCTCTTAACAAAGATGTTAAAAAACAACAGTGAGATAAAATATATTCAAAGAAATAGACTTGCATTGATTCTGGCAACAATTTAACACTTCGGATAATAACAGTAATGACAATGATATTATTGAAGATTGACGCAGTGTGCAAGGTCATCGGTTGTTACACGTTACTGCGGGGTTGTTTAAAACACTGTTAGAGTGTCTGCAGCAAATTTTCTTTCTGATGTAACTATGTCCAGCATGAAAATATGCATTTTGATTAATTGAACAAAAATTGTCTCATAAGGGTAGGGAGTTTTATGGAACATTCAATATCTTGCAGTCCTTTTCAGATGAAAAGGAAAGCAAATCGTCACTATATTTTTCCTCAACAAGAGGCAGAGACATAACTTGATTAATACCAGATGATTATTTTCACTTTGGTATCCAGAGTCAATTTAATTGCGAGGTCGGTATTTTTACCAGCTTTTTTTCATCTCAGTATACCTCATAACAAAAATATCCTGATACCTAAGGAAAAAAAAAGCCGTCTACTAAAAAATGTCAGGAGGTGGCTTAGACACATAATGGAGGACCCTAAAAATGTCATTTCCACCTGTAATGAAATGAAAAAGATGGTGGTGTCTGGTGGCACGAGGAAAGCTGGTAAGTAGGTCATTTTAAAATAATTCACTTTTAATTTAACTTAATAAACCAAAACTGCCCTGTGCAAGGATCCACTTCCACCATATTATAGATAACACTTTGTGCTTATAAAGGCTCCCTTATGATTATGCCCTGTATATCTACAATACTGAAAGCTCTCTACATACTGTAGAAAGAAGAAAGCAGGAAACCATTTCTTTGGGGCATGTCAAGCTGCGTTCAGAAGTTAGCACACCACACAGCCTCAAGAACACACTACAGAATTCCACAGCCAAGGATGATAACGCAGTAATGAAAAGTGCGAAAAATGATTTTTTGCTGGTTTTTCATTTGGGATTTAATACCAAGATGCTTACATTCTGTTTTGGGGCTGGGGGGCCCCCTGCTATCTTCCCTTTAAATTTACATAATTCTCAAGGTTGGGCCTTTTTAGAAAGGACCAGCTTCCTCAGAGCGCGCCTCCGGACTTCACAGAAGGCCGCCAGGGCAGAGCCCAGCTGGAGCGTCTCGGCCTCCCGCGCCCCTGCTGTAGGCGGTAAAGCCAAGTCCAGGGAGGGGTCTGCGGAATGGAAGTGAAGGCGGCGGTTTGCTCCAGAGGTGGGAGACTGAGGCCCGACCGCCAGCTCCGGTCTCTGGGCCCACAATTAACCCTTCCCGTGCCCCTCTCCCCTCCTGTCTCAGTCCCCACTGGAGAGGCCCTCTCCTGCGGGGCAACCGCCAAGCCTTGGAGGTGGGACACCCTGCGGCGGCTGGCCCCTGGGGTTCTCCCCACCGCTAAGGAGAGCGCCTTGCGGGGGAGGAGGGACGGGCTCCTGGAGGAAAACGCTCCCCCACTCTCCCTCTGTGATTTGCCACTTCCCCGCGAGAGGTGACAAGACCAAGCGGGGCACACGTGGGAGAAAAGTGGAGGGGAGAGGGCACAAGCGCCAGAGGGGGGAGCGACGGCCAAGTCGAGGTGGGAGTGGGCTCTGCCGGGAGCTGGGGTGCCTGCGGTGACCAGCGGCAGCTTAAGTTGACCTCGGCGCGCCCCGTCCAGGTTGCAGACAGCTCTGCGTCTCCCCTGCGGCACCCTTGGCGCGCCCCTGCCAGCCTGCGGGGCGCCAGAAGTCCTTCTGGACCTGCGTCCCCTCGGAAGTGCCCGGCCTCGGCGGCCTGCCTACCTTCCCGTCACGGCCTCCCCGCTGCCACTACTGCGAGGCTCTGTCAGTGCCTCTGACTCCCGGAGCGGGCTGCGGCCGGGCCGAGCCGGCAGCCGATGGGGTGCAGGGGCTGCCGCCCAGGCCTGCGACCGTGACCTCGGCCTCCCTGGGCCGGGCGGGGGTCCGGTGGGCAAGCGTAGTCAGCGCAGGCCGCGGAGCTCGGGCCCAGGGGCGGTCAAGCTCTTGGGGGGGGTCCGGAGCACAGGGCGCGCTGGAGCGCCGCGGCCCCAGGATTGCGGCCTGGGGCGGCCGGACCTTGACCTTGGCCTCCGATGCACCCCCGTTTTTCGTGCCTCCTCCTCCCCCCTCCCCTCGTCCTGCCGCCTTCTAAATTGCCTGCGTCGTAGGTAAAAGAGTCTCGGGCTGGTGGCCACAACCCACCACTACTCCACTCGGCGCACCTCACCCACTGCCGGGTCTCTGGGCCCCGGGAGCGGCCCCCGCCCCCGCCGGACCCCCGCTTTGATGCCGCGCGGCCGCGGCAGCAGGTGGGGATCCACCGCTGCCCGCACGCGCCTTCATCCTCCCGTGGGCTGTGGGAAGGGCTGCGTGAGGCTCCGGAGCCCGCGCCTTGCGCTCCTCCAGAAACAAGTTCAAGAGCAGCGGACACAGTGGGAAAGGGGGCCCGGGTCGGGGAGCAGGGGACAGGAAGGGCGAGCGAGGGAGAAAAAGAAAGGAAAGACACGCTTGGTAGAATGCGTGCATTTCGAGACTCTCCTTGTACCCTCTTTAATTTAAAATATATGCTCTGAATAAGTGCAGGGTTCTAGCCATCCGACTGGATAATCCACTCGGAAGCCTAAAATCGAGGAACCCCAGGAGAAAGAATGGGACCGGTGCGGGCTTTCCCCAAATATATACCCTTCGAGAGGCGTCGGTTTATTTATATAAAAATGTGCTGAAGCCCTTCGTCATGTTTATTATGAAACAGGCAGTCGTGCAGAGGGAGGGAAACGCTTGCTTTGAACAAAAACAAAACGTGAAGTCCAGAGTCTTCAATATTGGAAGACAGACAAAGTCGTCCAGATCAGATTTTCTTAAAAAGAAAGAAAGAAGGGAGGGAGGAAAGAGAAGAAATAAGAGAAAAGAAAAGAAGAGAAAAGATTAAAGAAAAGAAAGAAAAATAAATAAAAGAAAACCTCGGCCTGGAGAGTCAGCAGAAATGCTGTTACCCTCCCGTGAGCAACAAACCGTTTATCAAAAACGCCTTCCCCATCCCCCACCCGCTCTTTGCCATTCCTACAAACTCTTTGCTCCATTATCTTACACTTGAGCAGAAAATCGTTAGAAAGATTTGGAAACGAAATAATATGTCACTATCCTTCGAAAAAAAAAGCTAAAAATAGCACGCAAGCTGACTTAACTGGAGGGTGTCTTTCTTCCTTCTCTTCCTGAGGGCTGGGCATTGGGAGGGGATGTGAAGTTGTCCTCGGATGTATGAAAAGTGAGAAGTGGATAAAGGAACATCAATTACACGTTCTGCGGGGATTTTAAGCGCCCCTCTCACACTTTTCCTAAATGGGATAAACTTGATTATCCTAAATCCACGTCGGGCTTAAAGCACTTCCCTCTCTGTGAATGAAGAATTTGTATTTTCTGTTGAGATGGGATGAGATGTGCAAATATCCAACTGAAAGGAAAAGTCAGGCAGTGCACAGTTAAAATCCCCAAACACCTTTCCGAACAAGTGAATGTATGCTTATGGCATTCATTCCAGAGCAGATTTTTATTATGATAAAAATGAAAAGCGCCTGCATAAAATTTTTATGCAATTAACACTGTTCTGGAGGAGATTTGGTCTAGGATTAAAATGAACTAACCTGCAGTAAACAGACCTGCAGTTTGCTCTTAAAAAAAAAAAAAAAAAAAAAAAAAGCCTCTTCCCCTGACACTATTTGCCAAATATAAAGGATCTCCTTACAATTTGGGGATAGGAGCAGATTTTCTACAGAGTAGGGAAAGGGGATGCAAAGATTTCATTTCCTCTCAACGTGCAGAAAACTGGTTCCATTCTCTTTCTGATGCGGGCTTCAATGTAGAAGTTAGAGGTCAAGTCGTACACATAAGCATACTGTTTGTGTTAAAGGGACTCTTGGCATATGTGAAGGGAAAAGACAGGCATGGATCCCAAAGCAATCCAAACCGATGAGCTCCAAACATGGGAGAGCTGGCGCTCCAGAATCCTGACCACCCAATTCAGGGACCCTCCCTGGTGACCGGGCGCAGGGGGCGCCTGGGCACTGGCAGGGAAGAAGGCGAGGGGTGATGGTGAGCAAGCGGGGGAGAGGAGCCAGAGGAAGGGAGGACAACCTGAGGACTTCATGCACTTCACAGGTAGAGATGCCGGCTGGCCCGGGGAGCGGGCGGGAGCAGCCTCCACGGAGAGCTGGCGGGTGGCCCCACTAAACCGCAGCTGGTTGTGCTCTAACTTCACACCTTCTTCTGCCTGCTCTGCTCAGTCACCCCCTCCCCACTTCACACCCGGTATCTAAAGGGGATTTTATTCAAGCAGTGGTGTTTTTACGTCAGTGCTCACAGTCAGTAGTGTATTTGGTCACCAACATTACAAGAAAAGAAAACAGCCCGTGTAAAACTTTTTGCTTGTTAAAGTCTGAGCTTTTCAGCCTGCTTCTCATCTCAACTTCTAGCAAATCACTCGTGTGACTTGTATGTTCTGCATGTTCCTTCTTTTTAACTTGGTAGGATGCAAGTCCTTATCTCAACAGCTTTAGCGCTTTACCCCATAATGAAGAAATCCTCTGCAGCCCTGTTTCC